ACAAAGTGGTGAAGACATATTGTGTTCCCTCATGGTTTCTCTTCTTCCCCTGCCATTTCTTTAAATGGATTCATCTCTGCCATTTTCCGGCCAAATAACACGAAATTTGGCCATGAAGGTAGAGTGGGCAAATACCCCGACGCGTTTTTTTCATTTTTTTGAAAAATTGTTTTATTTGGGTTTTTTGGCCATTTTCAGGCAAAAAATATACATTTTGAGATCTGGTTCCTAATATTAAATCCGAATGACCTGAAATTTGGTATGGGGATACCTTGGACATATGTCCAAAGAATCTCATTCAAGATTTTGACATACACCACTTTAAAATTGGGAAAAATAAGGCTTTTTGGCTATTTTCGGACCCAAAATGTACATTTTTGGCTCCTGTGCCCTAATATTAAATCTGAATGACCTGAAATTCTGTATGGGGATACCTTGGACACGTGTCCAAAGAATGCCATTCACGCTTTTGACATATACCACTTTAAAATTGTGTAAAATAGGGCTTTTTTGCTATTTTCGGACCAAAAATGTACATTTTTGGCTCCTGTGCCCTAATATTAAATCCGAATGACCTGAAATTTGGTATGGGAATACCTTGGACACATGTCCAAAGAATGGCATTCACGATTTTGACATACACCACTTTAAAGTTATGTAAAATAGGGCTTTTTGGCTATTTCCGGCATTGGAAGGTTCCATTTCTGTATGGGGGTGTAGACTATTGGCAGCCATCGTAGGATAGATCCATTTTCGGTATGGGGGATAGGGTGAAGCCATCTGCTGCAATTGCTCTCAAGCAAATGTCGGCCTTTCTAGTTTATATTTGTGTTACATATCATAGACTAAAACAACGTATTATAGCTAAATGATTTGTAGGGTAAAATTGAATAAATGATTACTTTGTTTCTCGTTTTAGGGAGTAGTCCAACAGGGGAATACGAATGAGGATTCAGACACTGAATCTGAAACTTCAGAAACTGAATCCTTAGAATTATCATTTTCTGAGGATTCAGAACAGAACGTCTGGTAAGTATTACAAAGCTTGAGCAAAGGCTGAGAAAATTACGCTATGTAATTTTAAAAGATTTCCATCGCAATTTGGACAGTGTTTTTCGATTAGCTGCTACTTTTAGAGCCAAATTTATATGATTTACATTATAAATATGTCAAACTATTATCTATGTTAATTACATTATCAGCCACTAATTTGAAGACGGTTTCATTTCGTATATTTAAGTAAATAGATCATGTTTTTACTTATTTCTATATCATAATTTGATTTCTTGCTAATGGAATTATGTAAATCGTGCATTTGTATATCAATATATTATTTACTATTTCGTGTTTTTCTATGTTTGTTGCGAATATGTGGAAATAAACAATGAGTAAATAAACTAACTGCTTTTATGTGTTTCTCCAGGTCCACCGTTCGCCATATCTTGTGGCGTCACCTGGAGCTCCGGGACGGAGACCCCGACATCCCGCCCGGGGCCCTGGCGATGCTGATCCGGGCGGTGGGGGAGGACACCGTGGCAGGGGAGGTCTTACAGACTATCCTGGAGGCCGCACTGGAGCGGCAGGGGGAGGGGGGCACGGAG